CCCAGGGTCAAAGTCCTACCGCAGGGTATTTTGCAGTTTTCGAATAGGGACGGCCTGCATGTATGCACTGTTTTTATGGGGAGTGTTAATTTCCCTGGGTGTTCACAGCGACCCACTTCATCTCCTGTGACCACAAGCCCCTCAGCGTCCAGGGTGCCAACACTGGGGACAGGGGAGGCAGAGGGCGGGGGCGCTACTCCGCCGACGATGGTTGAATTCTCACCATCCTGGGAGGACTCTGACATGTGTGGAAGTAAAGGCATTTCTCTCTCTCCTTCTTTTTAGGTAAAAATAGCAGCAGAAAAGGCGTGAGAACCAAGAGCTCTGAGAAGGCTGCCAGTGATGATCACAGCGTCCCCGTGGCCCGTGACGAAGTCAGAGAGGGTGAGCGAGGCCCTGTGGAGAGCCTCCACCGGCCCAGGGCGGGCAGAGTCCCTTGGAACAGCTGCCAGCTGCAGACTCCCCTGGGGCTGCCTGGGGCTGCCTGCTGTCTGCGGGCCTCTCTGGCCTCTGCGGCCTCTCTTTTACCATTATCGTATGGGGGCGGGGGGAAACATTCAGAGCCACTCTCTCTCCTGCAGGGTGCAGAAACTCACAGCCGCATTTCCCCCACTGACTCAACTGAAGTCATTGCAGAATCTCTGCAGGGTGGGTTGCCTTGTCCGCCCCCCGCCCTTTGCCCCCTTGCAAGGCAACCTCATTTCCTTTCTGGTGGGGCCTCATAGCTGCCCGTGTACATTGCGTGTACGTTTCTTATCTCCCAGCCAGACGCAGGGGCCTCTGGACTCAGAGAGAGAGTCTCTATTTACAAACCACGTGATGCTAGTCTTGGGGTCCTACTCCATTGCAAAGATACTGGTCTTTTAATTACTTACCTTAGGATGGCCGAAGACATCGGCTCTAGACTCCTGGGTCAAGTCTGGCCCACTAGCGCTCGCTGTTACCGTGATTGACTGTGACCGTCACTGTTACTGTATCTCTATTACGCTAAGCTCTGGTATCTAGAATTGCACTTCTCCTAATGTTAATAGCAACCATTTCTTAAACATTTCAACTTTCAGTAGCTTAAGGCCAGGCACTGGGCCTCGTGTGCAGTATCTCTCAATGTCTCTCTGCGTGCCGTGGATATTACTGGTATCGTCATTATCATTATTCATATATTTTTTTATTTTTAATGTTTTTATTTATTTTTTTGAGAGAGAGAGAGGGAGACCGAGCACGAGCAGGGGGAGGGGCAGAGAGAGAGGGAGACCCAGAATCCAGAGCAGCTCCAGGCTCCGAGCTGTCAGCACAGAGCCCAACACGGGGCTCGAACTCACAAACTGCGAGATCGTGACCTGAGCCGAAGTCGGACACTCAGCCGACTGAGCCACCCGGGCGCCCTGTACCATTATCCATATTTTATGGACAAGGAGAATGAGACTTGGTAGTATGTGTCATTTGCTTGTGGTTTTGCAGCCTGTAAGTGGCAAAACGGGGATTGGAACCCAAGATTTTGAGTCTAGACTTTCTGCTGAGCAGCGCAGCCGCTTAAGTAAACACAATGTTTCACAACTTTGCCTTTAAGGAGGCAGGATCTGTTTTCAGCTGCTCTGTGAGCCCATCCACGTGTATTAGAGTCGGGTGTCATAAAGGGAGCTGCAAATTCCCTGAGGCGCAATGTCATGGTTTGGGGCTGTGTTTCTAACCAAAAACTTAACCATCTAAGAAATCATAGGTATGACCAACAGTGCCTCCTAAAATACAAACGGAAATTCAACAAACTTCTGTAATCACTTAACAAGTAGGAATTCTCTCCCATTTTAAAGCAGACAGGCACGCACTGTTGCCATTGCCATCAGTCTGTGGTAGGGTCCCCTCCCTAAGGAGAGAAAAAAAAGAGAGAAAAGAAAAACACACAAAAAAAACCCCGTGAAGGTAGCCTGACTATGCGCCTACGTGACAAGATCCCTCATGACCTTGTAAACATGAGACCACTTGATCAGACTGCATGTTTGTGTGTTACCATAAATGGGAGGCAAAGAAATAGAAAATGTATAAAAAAACTACTCTACATGGCGTGCGGAGCTCAGTTCTTCGGGTACGAACCCAACTGAGCGGTGCCGGCACGAATAAAGTTGCTTCCTGGAAAGAGAAGCCTCAGGGTCACGACTCTGTGTGAGAATCCGGCCACGTATCAGGAAGGTGAGCCGAGGACGCGTGATGTGGGGCTGCGTCTCTGCTTCTTCCTCTGGGTGGACCCTGTGACCTTGGGGGTCGCAGTGAAATGGGTGGTAATCGGACACCCATCTCGGGCGGGCCTTGGGCACGACTTTCGTCCCTGTGTCCCAGCAGGCTGATCAAAACGCCAGCTGTCCCTTCAGGATCACAGGGTTGGTTAACGCCTTCCAGGGCTGGGTTCTTGCTGCCCTCAGATGCGGGCCACAGAGGCCTTTACTATTTTGTTCATTTTTGAGTACTTTAAACATTAGAAAAAATATTTTGTCTAGATCTTTTTTTTTTTTTTCCCTTTTCTTTTAGCTTTGGCACGGGGGTTGGTTCAAATTGTTTTAGTTGTTCATTCCCAGGGCTGGAAGTTATTAAAATTTGGGGAGGCATTTGCAGGAAGATTTTTCAAGGCCTGTTTCTTTACACATGTGTGTACGTGCGTGCACACACGTGCACGTGTGCTCTAGCCCGCTCAGAGTTGTGTCCCTGGCCTCGGCCTCAGAGCGCTGTCTGCGTGGGCTGGGGTCCCTGGTCTCCAGGACAGCCGGCACGGCTCCGATTCACTGAGTGCGCCGCAGGGGATTTCGGTGCGTGGGACTTCTTTACATCGCCCTCCTGTTAAAACAAAATCGAGGCATTGGGGGTAACCCAGGGGGGGCAGAGGAGCCGTGTGGGGGGCCGTGATGTGCAAATATAGGAGGGAGAGAGAAGCCCTGGCCGTGGAGGTGGTGCACGGAGGCAGGTACCCCTGCAGTTAGGAACCCTGGCCTGGGGTCAGGCAGGAGCCCCCGGGGGAGGTGCTGGGCAGAACGGGGGGCCTCACATACGTAGCCGGGCACTCTCAGAACCCGGTGCCCAGCCTCCTCTCCGTCTCTCCCCAGATCTCGCTGGACAGGTGGCAGGATGAAGGGGTCGGGTGGCAGGTGGACAGACGTCACCTGCATCGTGTCCAAGGTGGCCGATGGAGATGTCACCCGCTTCATCTTCAAGGTGTGGGTGGTCCAGACATCAGCCCCGTCTCGTTATGTGAGCGGGTGCCATCAAGGGCTTGTGTCAGATGCGGACTTCCCCCCTTGGGGACTCTGGCTTGGAGGACACGTGACTGAGGAGTACTGTCAGCTCGCGCAGGTTTCCAAAGCGCATCTTAGATACTGTCCTGAGATGGTCCATGCGGTTGGTTGCATCATTGGTCTAGTTCGTCAGCTCTCCTTGTGTCCACCCCGTTGTCATGTGACTTTTCCATTCCCTTCACAGCAGGCGAGAGCCCCTTGCCTTTGGGCTGGTCTGTGTGCCTTGCCGGGTCCGGCAAGAATAGAATAAGGCGAGTGCCAAGGTGCCAGTTCTGAGCTGAGGCCTTGAGACAGTTTACTTGTTTCTGTTTGCCTCTCATTTCTGATCTCTGCCTCCTTTTTTTTTTTTTTTTAAGTTTATTTGCTTATTTTGAGAGAGAGCGAGCGCACAAGTGGGGGAAGGCAGAAAGGGAGAGAGAGAGAATCCCAAGCAGGCTCTGCACCATCAGCTCAGAGCCCCGTGCAAGGTTCAAACCCACAAACTGCAAGATCATGACCTGAGCCCAAATCACGAGTCGGACGCTTAACTGACTGAGCCCCCCAGGCGCCCCTGCCTCCTTTTTCACCCCAGCCAGACACGGGCTTGTTTCTTACACGTGTCGTGTGCTGAGAACATGGGTCATGTGTTTTCTCCCAAGGGAACTGGACAGGCGTCTGAGTTGGTAACGGAGAGGGCATCTTGGGATCAGGCTTTACCCTCACTGGCTGTGCGACTCTGGGCAAGGCCCTAACTTCTCTGTGACTCAGTTTCCTCCTCTGCGGAGTGGGGAGGACATCCCTTTATGGGGCTACGTGACCATGTAATAGCGTCTGAAGGATGCCGCACGCAGAGCACACGGCAAGCCCTCGGCGAGCATTAGCGATGGCTTTTATTTGCTATCTGGGATTTGTTTTGTGCGTGTGTCTCAGTTACAGGAGTTGGCAGACGTTTTTAAAGGATCAGACCGTAAATATGTGGTTTGTTGGCCAAGAGGCAAAATTGAGGACGTTATGTACTTAAATAACCATTTAAAATGTAACCATTAAAAACTACAAAACTATTCTTATCTCTTGGGCCCTACAAACACAGGTGGTGGCCTGGATTTGGCCATCACATGGGCTGAGGCTTGCCAACCCCTGCCTTAGAACTTCAGTTTTCTGCAAATGCTGCCTCCAGGAAGCCTGCCCTGATCACCTCTCTTTCATTTTCCTAGACCTCCTCCTCAGGGTCCAGTCCCCTCCTCTGTCACATCCTAGTGACTCCCTACGGGCAGCCCTTCTCTTCTGTGAGGATATGAGTCTTAAGAGCTCGGGATCCTCTGATTCTTCTCAGGATACACCCAGTGCTCGACATGAATGGTGGACTCGTTTACTGAGCCCCTGCCCCGTGCTGGAACTAGCGTTCTGGGCTATAGAACGCGGATTCTGTGTGCGTTCAAGTGGATTCTTCGTGACCCAGGACAGCTGAGCCAGCCTCCGTAGGAAGTGTTCTTTGATCTGTAGGAAAGGAATGTGATTTCCCGCCATCGTGGGTGTGGAATGGGTTTCCCCAAGGGATGCATGTCGGTGAATGGGAGCTTCCTTATGCCTGGGCTGGGTGAGATTTGAGGCTTTAAGCAGGTGACCTGCTTGGGGATTGACCTACCCTGTGTGTGTGTGTGTGTGTGTGTGTGTGTGTGTGTGTGTGTGATACATGAGAGTGTTTCACTGCTGTGGGCACAGTTTGGTTTTTCATCCAAGCCCTTGTTGTGAGCCTTTCCCTACTGTTGTGTGGTCAGACGCTCCCTGGGGCTCAGCTCTGGTCTCCCCTAGACATCTGGCAGAGCTGTTGAGGGCAGGGGAGTGAGTCTGAGACTCCCGATTCTGGAAGAGGTGCGGCTGATGTGGTCCCGGCAGTGATACGCGGTCACGTCTGTATTTCAGACCCCTTGGAAGCGAGGGGGGGCGGCCAGGGGCCAGGATTGGGATGGGGTCGCACCCCTCTCGGACATACCTTGCTCGGGAAACCTGATGAATGTGGGCATCTGGGACACCTCCACACTTTGCTAGCCCCCCACTTTCAACTCTGTCTCAAACTTGCCTAGAAAGTTCTTTCAGTCTCTTGCGGCACCTGGGTGGCTTAGTCGG